GACTTGATTGGGGGAAGGGGAGGGATATGGGAGGCGGTGGAGGGGAGGAGGCAGAAATCTGTATCGACGTAAATGAATGTAGACAGATTGTAATAATGTGTACAGCTTTAATGGGGAAATAGACTTACAGAACCAGAGGTTCCCACTGTAAACAGGAAAGCAGAAGGGGCTGTGGGCTCATGCTCACCAGATTTATATGTAAACATTAGCCCGAGGTGAACACGCCCTCTAAGGGGGTTGGGCTATCCCTACAGAAATCTTAAATAAATAAATAAAAAAGAAAAAAAAAGGATGTTCAGAAAATGGTGCTGGTGTAACTGGATGTTCACATGTAGAAAAATGCAAATAGACTCATACCTATCACCATGCACAAAACTCAAGACCAAGTGGATCAAGACCTTAACACAAATCCAGTTATACTGAACCTGATAGAAAATAAAGTGGGAAGTAGCCTTGAACACATTGGCACTGGAGATTACTTCCTGAATATGACACTGAGGTAGACAATTACTAAATGGGTCCTCATGAGCATTACTTATGACATTTTATGTTGGAGAAGATGTAGAGCAAGGAAAATGTTCCTCCATTACTGGTGGGAGGGGAAATTGTACCACTGCTTTGAAAATCAATTTAGTCATTTATCAGGAAAATCAACCTACCTCAAGACTCAACTATACCACTCTTGGGCATATACCCAAAGGATGCTTAATCCATACCACAAGGACACTTGCTCAACCATGTTCATAGCATTAATATTCATAACAGCCAGAACAAACTAGATGCCCCTCAACCAAAGAATGGATAAAGAAAATGTCATGTATATATACTCAACAGAGTATTATTCAGCAGTAAAAAGGAATGACCTCTTGAAATTTGCAGGCAAGTGGATGGAACTAGAAAAAAAATCCTCAGTGAAGTAACCTAGACCTAGAAAGACAAACCCTGTATGTACTCACTTATAAGTAGATATTAGATGTAAAGCAAAGGATGACCAGGCTACAATCCGTAGCCCCAGAGAAGCTAGGTAGCAAGTAGGTGGATAGCCATGGGAATGGGAAATAGATGATATATCCTGAGGAAACTGGGTGTATGGGTAGAGGATAGGGTTTGGGTGATGGGTACATGAGGGATCAGGATGGTAAAGTTGCAGGAAGGATGGAGAAGGAGAGCAATGAGAGGTATATCTTGATAGAGGGGTCATTATGGGATTATGGAGAAACCCAATGCTATGTAAACTCCCTGGAATACACAAGAATGACCCCAGGTAAGTCTCTTAGCAATAGTGGAGTGGGTGCTTGAACTGGCTCTCTCCTGTAATCAGATTGGTAACTACCATAATTGTCATCACAAAACCTTCAACTAGTAACTGATGGAAGAGTCCAGTTGAAGAGAAGGAGAAGGGATTATGTGAGCTAGGGGGTCAAGAACATGATGGAGAAACACACAGAGACAATTGATCTGAGGTCGTGTGAAGTCTAGGACTCTAAACCAACAGGGATACTGCATTGGACTGACGTAGGCCCTCTGCAGGTGGGTGATAGTTGTATAGCTTGGAAAGTTTGTGGGACCTCTATCAGTAGAACCAGGACCTATCCCTGGTGCATGAGCTGCCTTTTTGGAACCTATTGCCTATGGTGGGATGCCTTACTCAGTCTTGATGCAGGGGGAGGAACTTAGTCCTGCCTCAACTTGATATGCTATGCTTTGTTGACTCCCATGGGAGGCCTTACCCTTTTTGAGTGGATGGGAGTAGAAAGTAGGTGAGGGCAGGGTATGGTAGGAGAGGAGGGAGAGGAAACTGTGGTTGGTATGTAAAATAAATTTTAAAAAAATAATAAAAAGTAACAACATATAGGCTTAGACACATATGTCCATATACCAGAGTCTCATTAAAATACAAAACTAGAACCCATAGTATAAACATAAAGTTAAAAATTATGATCTGACATGACATTGTGGGAAAAGGAACATCCAAAGATGCTACTGAGTTTATTTTGTGCTTGCCACCTACTGCTGATGATTGGCCTTAAGTATGGTTTGAATCCCTAGTGAGACGCCCAGGAAAAAAATCAATTTTTCATATGTCAGTGGTAATCATTTGAGGATAGTTTTTGGGTTAGGGATGGGGTTTGTGTTTCTTATCCTCTGAGCATTAAGACCCCATCTTGCTTAATCCCTAGCAGGCCCTGTACACACTGCCATGGTCTGTGCCACAGAGTTCATATGCATGTTGGTTGTGTTGTGTTTAGAAGTCTTTGTTTCTCTCCATTCTACCTCTTACATTCTTTTTTTTTTACCAGAAAAAATGTGTTTATATTTTAATTAGGTACAGAGGTTAATTTAATTGACACAATAACACACACACACATTATACACGCCATTGCTTAGTTAAGAACAGTATAGTCTTCTTTCTTTTCTTTTTTTTTTTTTTGGAAAGGAATTTTTTTTTATTGAGAAAAGGAAAAAAAAACAAGTTTCCGACTCCTCCCAGCCTCCCATTTCCCTCCCCCTCCTCCCACCCTTCTCCCCCTCCCCCCACACTTCTCCCCCTTCCCCCCACTCCTCTCCCCCTCTCTCTCCAGTCCAAAGAGCAGTCAGGGTTCCCTGCCCTGTGGTAAGTCCTAGGTCCTCCCCCCTCCGTCCATATCTAGGAAGGTGAACATCCAAACTGGCTAGGCTCCCACAAAGCCAGAACATGAAGTAGGATCAAAACCCCGTGCCATTGTCCTTGGCTTCTCATCAGCCCTCATTGTTCGCTATGTTCAGAGAGTCCGGATTTATCCCATGCTTTTTCAGTCACAGTCCAGCTGGCCTTACATTCTTACTGCCTCTTATGGTGCAGGCTTCCCCGAGTCCACAGAGAAAGGTTTGGATGGAGACACACCATTTATAACTGTGTGTTGATGTGGGATGCACTTCTGTATGCTGTGAATATGTCTTATTACCTTTGGTTAATAAAGAAGCCGATTTGGCCAATAGCCAGGCAGAATAAAGCCAAGCAGGAAATCCAAAGCAAAGATAATGGGAAAAATAAGGCTGAATCTGGGAGATGTCATCTAGAGAAGCGAATGTGAGGCAATGTTGCAACCACATGGCAATCCATAGATTAATAGAAATGGGTTAATTTAGGATGCAAAAACAAGTTAGTAACAAGCCTCAGCCATCAGTCAAACAGTTTGTAATTAATATTAAGCTTCAGAGTGGTTATTTGGGAACAGATGGACAGGAGAAAAACCTCCAGTTAGAGTGTGTTCCAGGCTCCCTCACTCTCTGAATATAGTGTAGTTGTGGGTCTCTGTATTTGTTCTCATTTAGTGCAGGAGGAAGGTTATGCTATAATGACTGAGTTACATGCTGGACGATGAAATACCAGAATATCGTTAGATGTCATATAAACGCTGTTTCTTTAGCAGAACAGTAGTATTTCATTTTCTCTTAGGTCCCTGGCCTATCTGATCTCTAGTTCGTGGACTCTTGAGTACTGTCAGGGGTTGCTTCCATTCATCTGTTGAAAGACACTGAGGCTGTTTCCCATTTCTGGCTATTATGTATAGAGCAGCAAAACACGGCTGAGCAAGTTTCTGTATAATAATATAAAAAGCCCTTTGGGCATATGAACAAGGGTGGTATACCTGGATCCTGAGTTAGATCTATTCCAAGCTTCCTAAAGAACTGTCATAGTGATTTCCAGAATGACTGTACAATTTTTAATTCCCACCAGCAGTGGATTAATGTTCCCATTATTCTCCATTCTGGTCACCATGAGCTATTACTTTTTTCATTGATATTGACCATTCTATGTGGTATAAGATGAAATCTCAAAGTAGTTCTGATACACATTTCTATATAAAACTCTTTATAAATGCATTTCATAAGTGTATAGTCACTGAAGATAAAAGTCCTGGGTGTTTCTTAGTCTGAGAGAGGTAGAGGAAACAATATATGTGAAGAGATTTCTACTCACAGTTGTCTTTATGTCAGCCCTCAAAGCTATATTACAATGCTGTAACTTGTCACCCAGAAGAAAATCTGCAGTGATGAGGTAGCTGATTAAAATTATCTGTTTGTTGTGGTGTAGGGAACTTTGGGATGACAAGTCATTTTGGTTAACATTCAAATATAGATGAAAATCCAATCTGACTGGGGGTATCTTCAAGTCAGGGAATTACATGTGTGGTGTAAATCTCTCTTCAGGGGAAGAGACTGGAGGATTCCTTTCAAAATATAAGGCATAGTGGACATCATCACTGAAATTACCTCAATTTTTCTACCCATTTGGATCCAGGTTGTTTTTTTATAATATAGTGTGTGCAAAGTCCATAAACTGTATTCTAGATTTCTCTTGGAGATAATTGCTTCATCTATAGATGCTTGTTTGGTGCCTCTATTTGGAGGTTGTAGATTCAATTTCATCATCTTTGAATATCTTATCATCTACTGCAACTGGGTGAGAACAGAGTTCGTGTTCTTTTTGGTATGTGCCACACACACAGTAACCAAAAAAGGAGCCAGAAAGCTGCAAAGAGTAGTAGCTCTTGGTGCACCTGGATAGGTAGGAAGGTCTAGATATACAGAAAGCACAGGTTGTTGTGCAGAGTCTCCTACCCTCAAGTCAGGGGAGGCACAGAATTGCAACAGTCAGAGATATTTTTTTGGGAGGGGGGAGGAAGAGGATGGAAACCTTGAGCAATAGCACCTGCCCAGGGTTATGTCTTCTCCAGCCACCAGAGGGCACTGCCAGCCACACACTTGCTTAGTTTGCTCAGACTCAGCTGATCTCTTTGTCCAGCAGTATTTCCTGTGCATGAAAACACAAATTCTCTCTAGCTTACTTCTTTCTCAGCAGGAGCTCATTCTAATGTTGAAGGAGGGGCTTTCACAGCTTCCGGGATTGGATATATTTACATAGTGACGATCCTGTCAGAAGATAGGGACAGATAAGAAGTGACAGCCTCTCACTAGGTTGTGTGACTCCAGGAGAAATTCCTTGTGTCTCCACCATGACGGGGGCTCCAGTTCTCCTCACTTTCCTGGCTCACTACACAGGTGGCTGTTTACATGGGATTCTGGGGGTGTGAACAGGAGAAATGTCCTGTCCCCTAAAAATGGGCTTCCTCTTGTCCTCACTGATTCTCTGTTTCACTCTATCCTTGCAGTATCTTGGGCTGAGGTTGTTGTGTACACCCAGCCGCAATCACTGTCGGGATCTTTAGGGCAGAAGATCACCATCTCCTGTACCCTCAGCAGTGGCAGCATTGATAGCAATTCTGTATCCTGGTATCTTCAGCATTCAGAAAACACACCCCGCCTGCTCATCTACAGATATGACCTAAGACCCTCTAGTGCTCCTGATCGGTTCTCTGGCTCTAAGGACAGCTCCTCCAACTCTGCCACCCTAACTATCTCTGGGTTGCAGGCTGAGGATGAAGCTGACTACTACTGTCTGTCTGGCTATGACAACTATTTCACACAGAGCCTCACACTTATGGGGAACTGAGACAGAAACTTTTTAGAGCATCACCACCATGGGTTACCTTCAACCTTGGAAAGCTGATCTTTTCTGTCTTGATTTGGAAATTCCTGTGAAATAGGCCCTTTATTTTCTAAAATACAACATACTCCCTATCTATCTATCTATCTATCTATCTATCTATCTATCTATCTATCTATCTGCCTGCTTACCTACCTACCTTTCTTTCTTTGTATCTGTCTATCATCTATCTGTCTGTCTACCATCTCTCTCTCTCTCTCTCTCTCTCTCTCTCTCTCTCTCTCTCTCTCTCTCTCCGTGTGTGTGTGTGTGTTTGAGGCCTTGATTTATGCTTGTGTTCATTTTTTAATTTGTTATCCTCATGAATATTAACCTTCATCAGGCGATGAAAGGAGACAGAGTCAGAGACTCCCATGGGAGCACCGGACAGAAATCTCATGGTCCAAATCAGGAGCAGGAGACGGAGCACGAGCAAGGAACTCAGGACCGCGAGGGGTGCACCCACACACTGAGACAATGGGGATGTTCTCTCGGGAACTCACCAAGGCCAGCTGGCCTGGGTCTGAAAAAGCATGGGATAAACTGGACTCGCTGAACATAGTGGACAATGAGGACTACTGTTCTCTTTTTTAAGCTATTTTTGCTTTCCTATGTTGTACTCTGATGTTTTTTTTTTGAACTTGAAACTTTAGTTGTAAAGTAAGGAAATTCCCCGTGACACATGTATATATGCATATATACAATGTGAACTTGGATTATTATCATTTGCTCTGTTACATTGCAGCAACATTTGTCGAGTGCTTACAATTCTTCCTTTTTGATTAAGATTTCACTGATACATCAAAGGAATCACTTTTCAGATGTACGTGTGGATGTTCTTTTTAGGATATGAACTCATACATTTTGAGTGTGTGTGTGTGTGTGTGTGTGTTTATTGAAGTCATTGTTATGGTTTTGACATCATGGTAATACTGGATTAATAGACTAAGTTTGGAATGATAATTTCTTGTCCATTTGGTGAAACACCTTGAGAATCTGTGACATCTATTGTGTTTTATGGCCATTTTTACACGTATGTCTTCAACTGTTATTTTTTTTTCAAATCCGTTGTTTGTGTTACATTAGGTTTCATTAATGGAATTTTTCATGTACTCTTGATGTCTTTGACTAAATTTATAGTAGCTATTTTGAATTCCTTGTTTGGTGTTTCAGTTATATTGAATTTCTCAGGAAACACTGTCACCATGTTACTGAGCTCCTGTAGAGACATACTGTAGGGGCTATTTTGATTGTGTCCTTATACTGGTATCAATGCATCTGGGTTTAAAATGATTGTACATCTAGATGATGATATATTATCTTGTCTCTGTTGGATAGGCTTTTTATTCCTTAGTTTCTGTTGCCCTCATAGGATATTTGGAGGGGCTGTGGTGTCTTATAGGCACTGCTCTGAGTCTCTGCCAGGTGAGGCCACTGGTTCCTAGATAAGAATTATTTGTGTATTGGGAGCTTGAAGGAAAGAATTTGATGGACTGGGTTAGTAAGGGGCTGAAGAGCACATAGGGAGGGAGGAAAGCTGGGTCTGCCAGCTGGATCTGTGGAGTACCCAGGAAATGGAGGAAGATGGTAAAGGCACCTCCCTCCCCAGAGGTAGCCTGATAAATTTGCTGGACATTAGACTATGTATTTGGAAATGGAGGAGAGGAAGGAAACAGAAGATTGCTTACTTGTTTCCCTGGCCAGCATAACCCATAGGGTTGTGGTGACTACACTGTCTCTAGTGTAGGTGGTTGACACAAAGGGGTGGGATTAGAAGTAGGCTGCAAGAGAAGACTGAATTATTTTAAAAATAATTGGGACAGGAAAAAGAACAGGAGGATAAGACTGAGGGATTAGAATTGGAGAATGGGAGGAGATGAATTTCACTCACCTGCTTCCCTGCTCAGCCTGGCAAGTATGTGTCCAGGTAGACAGCATCTCTGGTATTGATACATAAGACACAGTGATAGGATGTGGGGAGAATGGGGTTGTAGGAGAAGAATGAGTGATGGTTTTTGGAATTTCTACATCTACTTAATAAATATGTAGATACTAGAAGTGTGCAGGAAATTAAAAATGAGTGTCTGATCATGTATGGGACTGACTGCACTTTATTCTGGCACATATAGAACATTGGAAGTTCACAGGAATAAACTGAGAATCACTGTTGGAAGGGCTGCTGCAATGTTGTTATCTCCAAAGGTGGAGATTATAGTGCACTAAATTCATATGGCAATAATTGGAATATATTTCGTTAATAATCAATGATGTATGGAATAAAAATATTTATCCTCAAGTTAAATCTCATACCAATGAAGTGATCTGGTATTTGCCATTATTCTGTGGGTTAGATAATACTTTATTATTTCTGCATATTTTGTAACACTGTCAAAGATTTTTTTCCAGATAGGACAACGTTTACACCAGATCAAATGATTTCCATTTCAGATTTAGAGATCAGATTCTGGGTATGTGTATTCAGACAGTGATCTGCTGAGTAGTAGAAATCCATCTAGATTCTGAGATCTCTGGACTTTGGTAACTTTGGATCCTTTGGCAAACAGGGGGCGCTGTGGGACTCTGGTATGATGCCACTTCCACTCACTCAAAGAAGCTAGCATTAGCGCTCACCCTGTGCTCACTGAGAAGACTCAACAGTGTAGTACTTCTGTCCTGGCAGAGCTCAGGAGGAAAGGGGCTCAGTCTTAGGTAGCAATTCCTCCCAGGGCTCTCTGACTACTGAAAGCCTACCTATCTCTGCCTCAGTTTGTCATGTGAACTGAGCTCCAGAAGTCTGGCTCCCAGTGAGAAGTCTTGGCAGCAACTGTGGAAACATACCTGAAGGAAGAGCCACGTCTCTGCAGAGGTGGGAATGGAGACCTGGGGAAACCTAACTCTCTGTGGAGATCAATCTATCTCCACATATTTTCTCTTGACCTGCCTCTTTCTCACTGCAGGGCAGGGACAGGCCTAAGAGCTCTGCTGTCACCCCGGCCATATCTGTGTCTTAAGCACAGATCACTACTACACTTCACCTGGCTTGCTGTGAATTACCCACTAGGAGGAGTTAATGACAACTCATTTGCATGACTAGATGCTCTTCTGTGAGATCCCTGGCAATGAGATAATGAGACAGCCCAGACAAAAGACCCTGGTCTAAGAAGAAGCTGTGCTTGCCTATCATGGCTTGGACACCTCTTGTCTTTATTCTTCTATCTTACTGTACAGGTAGGGGCAGGCCCTGTTAGTACTTGGGAGAACTCCTTCACTCAATCCATTCTGTTTCAAATCCACAAGAATTTGCACGTCAGCTCCACTGTTCACTGTGGTGTCTTCTTTTGCAGGTTCTTTTTCTGAATCTATACTGACACAGCCACCCTCCATCTCTGCAACTCTTGGATCAACAGTCAGACTTACTTGCTCCCTGAAGAGCGGCATCAGCGTTGGCAGTAAACATATTTACTGGTACCAGCAGATGCAGGGGAGCCCTCCTCGGTTTTTCCTGCGCTACTACTCAGACTCAAACAAGTACCTCGGGTCTGGAGTCACGAACAGAGTCTCTGGATCCAAAGATACCTCCAAAAATGCTGCAGAGTTGCACATCTCTCAGCTAAAAGCAGAGGATGAGGCTGACTATTACTGTGCCATCTGGGAAAGTAATGCATCTCACAGTGATACAGGCAGATGGGGAAGTAGGCAAAAATCTTAGCCTGAGATAAAAAATCACTTCTGCTTTTTTGAACATTGTAATATATTTACACTATTAAATTAAAAGACAATGAAAAAGTTTATTCAGAAATTTTATTCCATTTTTTAGACAAATGCCTGAACTATTAGTCAAGCAATGTCATGATATACATAATTTTATTATTTGGGAATGGGCAGCAAGGAAATGAAGAAGCATTCACTGGTTACAATTGGTGGCAGTGTAGGGCAGGTATATCTGCATGAAAACTAAGAAAGTTTTGGAAGGAATTCTATACACAAAAGTCCAGACTCAAGCACAGCTTCTTTTTTTATTTTTATTTATTTATTTATTATTTTTTTATTGAGAAAAGGAAAAAAAAGTGTCCCCCTCCTCCTATTCCCCTACTCCCATCCTTCTCCCCGCCCCCCACTCCCCCCCCCCCTCCCTCTCCAGTCCAAAGAGCAGTCAGGGTTCCCTGCACTCTGGAAAGTCCAAGGTCCTCCCCCCTCCGTCCATGTCTAGGAAGGTGAACACCCAACCTGGCTAGGCTCCTTCAAAGCCAAAACATGAAGTAGGATCAAAACTCCATGCCATTGTCCTTGGCTTCTCATCAGCACTCATTGTTCGCCATGTTCAGAGAGTCCGGTTTTATCCCATGCTTTTTCAGTCATAGTCCAGCTGGCCTTGGTGAGCTCCCAATAGATCAGCCCCACTGTCTCAGTGGGTGGGTGCTCCCCTCGTGGTCCCGACTTCTTTGCTCATGTTCTCCCTCCTTCTGCTCCTCATTGGGACCTTGGGAGCTCAGTCCAGTGCTCCAGTGTGGGTCTCTGTCTCTATCTCCATCCATCACCAGATGAAAGTTCTATAGTGATATGCAAGATATTTGTCAGTATTGCTATAGGATAGGGTCGTTTCAGGTTCCCTATCCTCATCTGCCCAAGGAACTAACTGGGGACATCGCCTGGGGCTCCTGGGAGCCACTCTAGGTTCAAGTCTCTTGCCAGCCCTAAGGTGGCTCCCTTAACTAAGAATTGTGCTTCTGTGCTCCCCTATCCAGCCTTCCTTTATCCCAATCATCTTGTTTTCCCAAGTTCCCCCCATCCTCCCTTTCTCACTTTTCTCTACTCATCTCCCCTTGCTCCCAACCCACCCCACTCCCAAGATCCCAATTTTCTCCACGGCAATTTGGTCTACTTCCCATAGGCAAGAGGATAACTATATGTTTTTCCTTGGGTTCACCTTCTTATTTAGCTTCTTTGGTTCACGAATTATAGACTCCGTGACCCTTGTTTATGGCTAGAAACCAATTATGAGCGAGTACATCCCATGTTCATCTTTTTGGGTCTGGGTTACCTCACTCAGGATAGTGTTTTCTATTTCCATCCATTTGCATGCAAAATTCGAGAAGTCATTGTTTTTTACCACAGCGTAGTAATCTACTGTGTATATATTCCACACTTTCCTCATCCATTCTTCCATTGAAGGACATCTAGGTTGTTTCCAGGTTCTGGCTATTACAAATAATACTGCTATGAACATAGTTGAACAAATGCTTTTGTCATATGGTAGAGCATCTCTTGGGTATATTCCCAAGAGTGGTATGGCTGGGTCCAGGGGTAGGTTAATCCCGAATTGCCTGAGAAACCGAAACACTGATTTCCAACGTGGTTGCACAAGATTGCATTCCCCCCAGCAGTGGATGAGTGTACCCCTTCCTCCACAGCCTCTCCAGCAAAGGCTATCATTGGTGTTTTTGATTTTAGCCATTCTGACAGGTGTAAGATGATATCTCAAAGTTGTTTTGATTTGCATTTCCCTGATCGCTAAGGAGGTTGAGCATGACTTATGTGTCTTTTAGCCATTTGAACTTCTTCTGTTGAGAATTCTCTGTTCAGTTCAGTGCCCCATTTTTTAATTGGGTTTATTATCATTTTAAAGTCTAGTTTCTTGAGTTCTCTATACATTTTGGAGATCAGACCTTTGTCTGTTGCGGGGTTGGTAAAGATCTTCTCCCAATCAGTAGGTTGCCTTTTTGTCTTGGTGACAGTGTCCTTTGCTTTACAGAAGCTTCTCAGTTTTTGTAGGTCCCATTTATTCAATGTTGCCCTTAATGTCTGTGCTTCTGGGGTTATACCTAGGAAGCGATCTCCTGTGCCCATCTGTTGTAGGGTACTTCCCACTTTCTCTTCTATCAGGTTCAGTGTGTTCGGGCTGATATTGAGGTCTTTAATCCATTTGGACTTGAGTTTTGTGCACGGTGATAGATATGGGTCTATTTTCATTCTTCTACAGGTTGACATCCAGTTGTGCCAGCACCATTTGTTGAAGATGCTTTCTTTCTTCCATTGTATACTTTTAGCTCTTTTATCAAAAATGAGGTGTTCATAGGTTTGTGGGTTAAAATCCGGGTCTTCTATACGATTCCCTTGGTCGACTTCTCTGTTTTTATGCCAGTACCACACTGTTTTCATTACTGTAGCTCTGTAATAGAGTTTGAAGTCAGGGATGGTAATGCCTTCAGAAGTTCCTTTATTGTATAGAATTGTTTTGGCTATCCTGGGTTTTTTGTTTTTCCATATAAAGTTGATTATTGTCCTATCAAGATCTGTGAAGAATTTTGATGGGACCTTGATGGGGATTGCATTGAATCTATAAATCGCCTTTGGTAGAATTGCCATTTTTACTATGTTGATCCTCCCTATCCAAGAGCAGGGGAGGTCCTTTCATTTTCTGGTATCCTCTTCAATTTCTTTCTTCAATGCCTTAAAGTTCTTGTCAAATAGATCTTTTACTTCCTTGGTCAGAGTTACCCCAAGATATTTTATGCTGTTTGTGGCTATCGTGAAAGTTGAAGTTTCTCTGATTTCTCTCTCTGCTTCCATATCCTTTGTGTATAAGAGGGCGACTGATTTTTTTTGGAGTTGATCTTGTATCCTGCCACATAACTAAAGCTGTTTATCAGCTGCAAAAGTTCTTTGGTGGAGTTTTGGGGGTCGCTTATGTAGACTATCATATCATCTGCAAATAACGAAAGTTTAACTTCTTCCTTTCCAATTTGAATCCCCTTGATCCCATTATGTTGTCTTATTGCTATTGCTAGAACTTCAAGCACTATATTGAAGAGGTATGGTGAGAGTGGACAGCCTTGTAGTGTTCCTGAGTTCAGTAGGATGGCTTTGAGTTTCTCTCCGTTTAATTTGATGTTAGCTGTTGGCTTGCTGTATATTGCTTTTATTATATTTAGGTATGACCCTTGTATCCCTAATCTCTCCAATACTTTTATCATAAAGGGATGTTGGATTTTGTCAAATGCTTTTTCAGCATCTAATGAAATGATCATATGGTTTTTTTCTTTCAGTTTATTTATATGCTGGATTACATTGATAGATTTTCGTATGTTGAACCAGCCCTGCATCTCTGGGATGAAGCCTACTTGATCATAATGGATAATTTTCCTAATGTGTTCTTGGATACGGTTTGCCAGTATTTTGTTGAGGATTTTTGCGTTGATATTCATGCGTGAGATTGGCCTGTAATTCTCTTTCTTGGTTGAGTCTTTGTGCAGTTTTGGTGTCAGAGTGACTGTAGCTTTATAAAAGGAATTTGGCAATGACTCTTCTGTTTCCATATTGTGAAATACATTAAGGAATATAGGTATTAGCTCTTCTTGGAAGTTCTGGTAGAATTCCGCATTGAAACCACCTGGTCCCGGGCTTTTTTTGGTAGGGAGGTTTTTGATAACAGCTTCTAATTCTTCGCGACTGTCAGGTATGTTTAGATTGTTCACCTGGTCCTGGTTTAATTTTGGTAAATGGTATTTATCTAAAAAAGTGTCCATTTCTTTTACATTTTCCAGGCTTTTGTAGTAAGATCTAACGATTCTCTGAATTTCGTCTGTGTCTGTGGTTATGTCCCCCTTTTCATTTCTGATCCTATTTATTTGCATATTCTCTCTCTGCCGTTTGATTAGTTTGGATAGGGGTTTATCAATCTTGTTAATTTTCTCCAGGAACCAGCTTTTTGTTTCATTGATTCTTTGGATTGTTTTCTGTGTTTCTATTTTGTTGATTTCAGCCCTCAGTTTGATTATTTCCAGTCTTCTACTCCTCCTAGGTGAGTCTGCTTCTTTTTTTCTAGAGCTTTCAGGTGGGCTCTTAAGTCTCCATTGTGTGCTTTTTCTGTTTTCTTTAAGTGGGCACTTAGTGCTATGAACTTTCCTCTCAGGACTGCTTTCATAGCGTCCCATAAGTTTGAGTAGGTTGTTTCTTTATTTTCATTGAATTCGAGGAAGACTTTAATTTCTTTCTTTATTTCTTCCTTGATCCAGGTGTGGTTCAGTAGTGACTGTTCAGTTTCCATGAGTTCGTAGGCTTTCTGCGGGTAGAATTGTTGTTGAATTCTAACTTTAATCCATGGTGATCTGATAAGACACAGGAGGTTACGAATATTTTTTTGTAACTGTGGAAGTTTGCTTTGTTACCCAGTTTGTGGTCAATTTTTGAGAAGGTTCCATGAGCTGCAGAGAAGAACGTATATTCTTTCCTATTTGGGTGGAGTGTTCTATAGATGTCTGTTAAGTCCATTTGCTTCATTACCTCCATCAATTCTCTTATTTCTCTGTTAGGTTTCTGTGTGATTGACCTGCCCATTGGTGAGAGAGGAGTGTTGATGTCTCCTACTATTAGTGTGTGCAGTTTGATTCCAGCCTTGAGTTTTAGTAATGTTTCTTTTACGTATGTGGGTGCTTTTATATTAGGGGCATAGATATTCAGGATTGAGACTTCATCCTGATGAATTGTTCCTGTTATGAGTATAAAATGTTCCTCTCCATCACTTTTGATTGATTGGAGTTTGAAGTCAACTTTGTTAGAAATTAGTATGGCCATACTTGCTTGTTTCTTAGGTCCATTTGCTTGATAAACCTTTTCCCATCCCTTTACTCTGTCTTTGTGGTTAAGGTGTGTTTCTTGTAAACAGCAGAATGTAGCCTTAGTATAGGAGCAGAAAACTGTTCCTGAGCA